TATGTTAAAATACAATAATTGATTTTCTAACATGAAACCGTCTTACCATTCCTGGGATAAACCTCACATCGAGATTATAATTTTTTAAATATATTATTGGTTTGGTTTGCTGCTATTTATTTTAGTATTTCAAATATACATCCATAAGCAAGTTCAGGCTACTACTTTTCAACTTCGTACAGTCCTCATAAAATAAGTTAAGAAGAGTTCTGCTTTTTTCTGTTCTTTGAAATAATTTATATAAGGTAGAGATGATCTGTTCCATATAATTATGGAAGAACTCATCTATTACAGGTCTGGGCCTGATGGATGTGAAGGGGTGAGTGTGTGGAGACATTTGGCTTCTAATTCAATGTCTTTAATGGTTATAGGCCTATTTAGAATTTGTATACCTCCTCGAGTCAATGTTGGTAATTTGTATTTTGTAGAAAATTGCCCATTTTGTCTGTTTGCAAATTAATTGGAATAATTGATTGATATTATTATCTATTTTTTAAAAACATCTGTCCTTTCGATAACTGTGCCTCCTTTTTATGCCTAATACTATTTTATCTGTGCCTTTTCTATTTTTTTCTGACTCAATCATAGCAGGGTTTGTCTTTACTGTCAAAGAATAGCTTTTGGTTTTGTTGATCCTCTCTATTGTCTGTTTCTTTTTTTTTTAATGTTCTTTGTATAACATATTATAAATACAAAAACTATATATAGCATATAGGTGAGTTTTAAGAAATAATAAAATGAACACTAAGATACTCACCTTGAAAGTTAAGAAATAGAACATTATTATTTTCGAAATCCCTGTACATCTCTCTCCAATTGCATTTTCTTCCCTCTCTCAACCCCCAAAACTCCGGTAATCACTAATGGATGATTTTTGTGTTAATCAATTTACTTCCCTGGCTCTGCTTAATTTTACCCATGTGTATGCATACCTAAAGACACAGGCTTATTTTGCAAATTTTTGGTATTTAAATATATGCAGTCATATGGTAATTGTATTCAACTTGATTTCTTTGCTCAAATTATGTTTTTGAAATTTATCCATGCTGAGTATATAGCAGTAGTCCATTCATTTTCATTGCTGCATAGCACATCATTGGAAAGAATGTACAATTAATTCATTAATATAATTTTTGAAAGGGATGATATTGATATATAGATTTCAGTTATGTCATGCTTCTTGAAACTATAAAGTAATTTGGTACTATATTTGTGGGGATTGGATATGTTACTGACAATAAAATAAAGTAAAAAATGTAAAGGCACCATTAGATTAGCAATGATGAACTAATACCTTTTAAAGTTACTTTTAAAATAATTTTTGTATAGGTGAGTGCCCAATAAAAAAACACAACAGACAAAAAAAGATTTTTTAAAGATTGATGAATTATGGATTGACTATTTAAGGTACGAAAAAATCTCTTTTAATGGAAAACACTCCAGGGCAACTTTAAACATCTGATTTACAAAACCCTGAGTTGCAAGCAACTTTAAATTAAAATATAACAAATTAAGTTTAAAAAAATGATAATATAAAGTATTGCATACTGCAGTCTGGGAAAAATGAATTGCTTTCCTTCATTTTACAGTACTATACAAATTTTATTAATTGTATGATAGAAAGCTTATCATACAAATCATTAAATCCTGACAGAAAAATCTAATGCCAAAGGGAGAGTGAAACTAAAGGGGTTATCTGCGATTGGTTCACTTCTGTGCTGTTGTTCAATTTTACAGTGAATACACCAGGTAGGCTTTCTAAAATGACACCCTTTTTCAATGGAGGAAAAAGAAGCTAAAGAACAGAAATTCATGGAATATCTGAAAAATAAAGGGGATCTCCTTGACTGAGCATAACAGTTATGGAATTGTAAATTCATCATTTCTCCTATGAACACTTGCCTTCCACAAGATGGAAATATTACCTTTCAAATTCTTACCACCTCAAAGGTAAATTGTAAGATTTACCTTTCTGTATTCTCAGTACTTTGATGATTCAACTAAATTTCCTTCTAACCAAACTCTGTAAGATGAGATTCTAGGTAAATGGAAAGCATGATTAACCAAAGGTCCCACAGATACCATATATGGAATGCCAACTGCCAAGGTGATTACAACAGGACCAAAAAATGTGCATGGGCTTATGTCTACTTAGTGACTCAGAAGGTGCTTCAGGATCTAGCTGTATCTCAATATGAACATCAACAATCTCCTTCTAAAAAGGTAGCTGACAATGCACTGATCTAAATACATTCTAAAACATTGACTTCCTTAAGATCATGGTTTTAAAATAAACTAGTTCTCATTTCCTTCCTTTATTTGCCTTAATCTTTTTGTTCACTAATGCAAAAGATAACAGAAATTATTATACTCTTATTTTTAAAAATGAATATGTAAAATATTATCAAGATCAACAAAAAATAAAAGTCTAGTAAAGGAGTCAAATTATTCTCATTAATTAACGCTATAAAATCTGAAAAGATAGAATGCCCATTTGTCCACATAAGTTGCAGGTAGAATTCATACACTCCAAGGGAAAAAGTATGTTATGTTATAAAGAAAAACACTATTTCAATTCCTTTTGAAGAAGAACCCTTTTAGCAAAATGGTAGATTAAATGTGTTCAAGTACATACCACTTACATAATAGATAACATAATATAATTCCCAAAGTGGATTTGATATAGCGAACAATAGTAAAAACATATTTAAAAAGATCTCACTATTTGCAACTGGGCAGATGACATTGGAGCAACTGAGCTAATGCCAATTAGTTTTCACCATCCCTAACAGTTTTCGTTACATTAAGAGGAGAAATATTTTAAGAGACGCAGTACTTTCAACAATAGTGGGATGGGCTGATGTTTCTTTTCTAGTTTCCCCTCTCTCCTCTCTTTCTTTCTCCCCCCTTCCTTTGTGCATAGGGGGAGGATCATTAGGAATTGTATTGATCTTCGATGTAGGAGTTGAGAGTGTACTGATGATAGAGGAGTGGGAAAGGGATGCAGATGCAGGAGGAGAAAAGCACAAATGGGAAGATGCCTCAATCTACAGGACAGCTCAGTGGGAAGGCGGACATGTTAAAAGTCTCAGTTTTGTGTTAAAGACTTGCTTTGAAGAGCTCTCACTTCAAACAAGGAATTGTTTTTGAGAGATCCATTAAGGTATCTATAAAATGAGAACTATGTTTCTAAAATGTTACGCCATTAATACTATACTAAAAAGTTGAGGGTCGTATGAGTCAAAACGAAATAGATGGAGGATGGTCAATAAAGGTCTTAATTCACCCATCTGGACAGAAATTGAAGGTGTTTGTTAACCGGGAATTGGGGATGAAAGAAATTATTCTATATACACTCTCCAGTATTCAAGTCTCCAGATAAACCATTTAATCTAAACTTTAGGAAATTCTTTTTTAAAATAATCCTAAAAGAGTATGTCATATACCAGAGCTGATGCTATCTCTCTGTAGATTTACAAGCACCCTCTTGCCTTGCCACACCCCAGCACCCTCACCGCCACCGCCTGTCATCCGACAGCTCCTTGACTTCCACGCCCTCCCCTCCAGCGAATATGGGAAATCTTGGGAACACAGCACCTCCGCAGTTTTTCCTCCCCATTCTCAAAACCGTTTCGCAGAGAAAACACCAAACTCTAAATTCATACTTTTAACCACAAAAGCCGGAAACGCTTTCAAATATATCATAGAATACACGTCAAGAGCAGTTCCCATTTATAAAGAGTCATTTCATCAGCTCAGACATTTTGTTGGAACAGCTGCCTGGCAGGTCGATGCGCTCATTTGTACAATTCCTTGTCCATAAATATATCTTAGATCATAACTACCAAGCCATTATTCATAACTCGCTGATTCAGAGACCACAAAGCTTAGACCCATTCGCCCGGCTTGGGGGCGGAGGAGCAACAAGAATCTGTGTAGCCAGAGTCGACCTTCTCCCCAGCCAGGCAGGTGCTCTCGCCGCCAGACCCCACGCCTGTCCTTGGATGCCGGGAAGTCGCGGGTCCGCGGCTCCTTTCCGCAGCACGTCCTCAGAGCAACCCTGGTCTCGTCTGAAGCTCCGCGCGTAATCCCGCCGTCAGAGGTCTCGATTTTTCGCTTTATGTCTCTTGAGGTCTCGGACAATTGTCCCCAAATTCCTCTCCAGGCGGATCTCATCCTCTGTCGCAGGTTTCCCGGGTACAGAAGACCCCAGGCTGGGCTCTGGGCTTGTGCAGTCCTCCCCGGAGCCAGACAAAGTACAACCCAACCCACGCCTATGCCCCCACCCCACCCACCCTGACCCTACCCCCTTTGCCTCCCACAAGCCACCCCCATCGCACACGGACCGCAACCCCAGCCCTGATCCAGCTTTTCCACCCCCGGGTGCCTCAGGCACACTCCGCCCCCCGGCCAGGTGGCTGGCGAGGAAAGTCAGCTTGGGTGAGCGGCTGAAAAATCTTTCGCGGAGGCAAAACCTGGAAGCCGTTTTTCAAAGACAACTCCACGCTGGGACCCAGGGGCACTGCTCCAACCCCTCCACTCAGTAACGTCCCCAGCCGGAAGCCCCTTGAACCCCATCTCACTTCTATTTTGCCCACTCAGGGATCCTGAAATACCGGACCAAATATTCTTCCTCCGTCTCCCCCAAATTCGCCCCAACCACTATCACTAGCCCGGGGAGCCAAGGGAGGAGCGCGAACCCCAACCCCCTGCCCGCCCGTAACGGCGCAGCGAAGCCGCATTCAAACAATCGAACGTGATGTCGCCAACAAAAGGCTCAATCCTGAGTCGTCGTCCAAGACAAGTTTCCTATCCTCACCCCTTCGGGCCTGAATGTGGGTTTGTTCCTGTCCCGCAGGATTGAGCTGCGCCGTGGACGGCGCCTTTGGGCCCGCTTCATCCCTACCGCCCCCCGCGCAGGACCAGGGCGGATCCACACCCTGCCCCATCCCGGCTCCGGGTGGCTGCCTGCGCCGGGCCCCGCCAGGGCCCGCACTCACCACGAGGGTCAGCAGCAGCCTGCAGAGGGCTCCGCGCACGGAGCTCCGGGGCCCGGAGGCCGCCATCGGGGCGCGCGGCCGGGGAAGGAGGACACGGGGTGCCGAGAGGCGAGAGCCCGCGGGGGTGCAGCGGCGCGAGAGGAGCGCTTCTCGCCGCTGCTCGTCTTTAAGTCGCCTCGGCCTCTCTCACGCTTGCCTGCCCGGGAACGTGTTCGCTCCTGAGATGGGATTGGACCCAGGAGACGTCGAGACGCCCCTCCTTGTTATTTCTTAAGTTTTATCACCGCGAGAGCCGCCGGGGAGCTGCCCGAGCCTGCCCCTCCGCTCCCCGGCGGCCGCGCCGGGCGCTCGCTCGCGGGAAAGCGGTCCCGGGCCCACCCTCTGCCGGCTCTCCCACGCCCCTCGTCTGCCCCGCGGCGCTGCGCCCCGCCTTCCCGCCGCGCGGCCCTGCCGCCCGGATCGTCCCGCCGCGTCCTCCCTGCCGACGCTGCGACCGCATTCCCACTGCAGAGCCCAAATCCGCCCGCGGGGATCCCTGCCCCAACACGGGCGCTCCTGGGTGCCAGGAACACCCTTGTGATTGGATCAGCGGCTCCTCCCTCCACTCCTGATCAAATTCTGGGCAATGGCTCCTGGTTAATACAAAATATATGTATTCTTTCCAAATTTGACCAACGTGATAAGATAAACGACAGAGGGAAAATTATCCCAAGCGGCATGAATAAGCTGGCATTTGGTATACCAGAAACTAAAACCAAGGAAAAGAAATTCTGATATCTGACCATTTTTACACACCCAAAATATGAGGGATTACACCTAGAGCTATTTCTTACTGCCAATTTTGTGGCCGTATACGAGCCTTCTAAGAAATAATTTGTTCTTATATGTAAATTGTTGACTTAGTAATTACATGGTAATTGTACTGAGATGCAATTTTTCAGTTTGTGGTAAAAGGAAAATCCACCCAAAACTCTACTCAGAAATGAGGCTTACAAATTCAATATCATTCAACAAACAAGTATCAGGGCCCTGAGTAGACCAGGTACTGTGTGAGGGGCTGGAAGAAAGCAAACGCAAAAAATCCAGTTCCTACCCTAAGCAAATCTAACTCTAGGAGGGAATAAGGGCAATCAAAGCCCAGGATGCCAAACTGTTAATAGAGAGTAGTTTACAACACTAACAGCACAGCCCTGTATTTCTCTGTGGGTTGAATTTTGTGCCGGCTAAGCCCCTACATGCTGGATTCCAGAGAAGCTCCTTCTTAGATATAGGTTGCTGCTCCTCAAAGTCCATGCACAAGTTCCAAGGCCAGGACCCTCAGATAGTCCCGAAAGTGTTTTCCTAACGACAGGGGTGTCCCTGAAACTCACAGGCCCCAGCTATCAGGACTCAGACACTGAGTTTAGCTTCTCATTCCCATCTCTGAGGCATCCGGGGCCTGCGTCAGAGATCCTTTCTCACTCTAGAGACCTCTGTATGGAAGAGCCCTTCCAATCTCGGAGAAAGTTCTCCAAACTTCTCTCCACTCCAACTGTTTTTGTCTCCCACCGGACAAAACTTCACCTTCACCAGTGACCTCAGGGACAGCCTCTCAAAGTTTGGCCCCAGCTAGCCTCTAGAAACACAGGTGGATCATGGATTTCCTGTAATTTAGATGATGCTATGAATTGTGTCCACTCAAATTCGTGTGTTGAAGCCCTAACCCCTAATATGACTGTATTTGGAGATAGGGCCTATAGGGAAGTAATTAAGGTTAAATGAGGTTTTAATGATGGGGCCTTGATCAGATGGGATTAGAGTCCTTATAAGAAGAGACACCAAAGGACCCCCTGTCTCTCTCTCTCTCTGTTTTCCCACCATGTGTGGACACAGCAAGAAAGCAGCTATCTACAAGCCAGGAGGACAGCTCTCACCAGAAACTAAATCTGCCAGACCTTGATTTCAGACCCTTAACCTCCACAACTATGAGAAACAGATGTCTGTTGTTTAAGCCACCAGTTTCTGGTATTTTGTTATGGCAGCCGGAGCTGACTAATACAGATAAGAAAAAGAGATGCAAACACTAATTTCTGCCCCCCAACCCTAATTCACTGTTAGAGAGGTACGAAGGGGTGGAGTGTTAAGAAATTTTAGAGGATCCAAGTCATCTAAAGTTTGCAGAAGCAAAATGCTTGAGATAAGAACCAACAGAGAAAAGGGGAAGGGTAGGTGCATGTGCCCGGCAAAAGCAATACGGCTAGTGAAGCTCTGGAGAGTCTTGTGAGGGCATCCCACGCCAAGAAAACAGACGGAGTTCATTTAGAACCACTGGACAGAAGAAATCCTGTGGCTGGGAATTAGGTTAAAAAGATAGGCTCCTGGGGCCTGGTGCCGTGGCCTAGCTGTTAAGTTTGGTGCGCTCTGCTTTGGGGGGTGGGGCCCAGTTCTCAAGTGTGGACCTACACCACTCGTGGGTGGCCATGCTGTGGCAGCGACCCACATACAAAATAGAGTAAGATTGGAACAGATGTTAGCTCAGGGCGAATCTTCCTCAGCAAAAAATAAAAAGAAAGGCTCATGACAAATCAGGCTGAGGAGCTGAATTTCATCCTGAAAGAGATAGAGAACTACTCACCCAATCTGTAAAAAGGATTACTAACTACAGTTAAGAATTGTCACTTTGGCTGAGTTAATGAATCATTAACTTCATTAATGAACCTGTTTATGCCCTGATATGGCTTTCCCTTAATATTCACGGAATAAAAGTCTTGAAGTATTTTTCTTTATTCTAGGTAATCCTAGTTTTTCAGTGATTTCGACTTTATCTACTAGAATCTGACCTGATTATTACTGTCTTCCAAGTGACTAAAACTATAAGAGCTATTAGCTGGTTGTTTCAGCTGTGCTGTGTAACTGAGGAGATTGGTAAGCCTACTGGCTTTATGACAGTTACTCTGAGCTTCCATTTTTAGCTTCTACAAATTAAAAGTTATAGAAATCTATTCCAGAAATGCTATAAGAAAGCATATTGGTATATTTTCAATCTGTACTGCAAAATTCTAGGTGCAATATGAATACTGAATGATAACTGGATATAGTATTAGTAACTATCTTGGAATTTCCTGTTTGCTATAACATGTACTTGTCCATCATGAGTATATTAGTCTAAGTCTTAATGAAAAGCAGTGCATTTTTAAAATTTAGAGAAGAATCTTTATAGGCAGTTAAAACATAAATATGACATGGATATAAATTAAATATGAGCTTCAGTTTGAACATAGAACTGGATGCCTTCAATAATAAAATTAGTTTTAAATCATCACAAGGTATCATAAAGCTTAAAGAGTTATTCAGCAATGTCTTTATTTTAGTACCCTATTCCCCAAATTGCAAGGTTGATTGGAAGTCATCACTAAAAGGATAATGTACAAAAATTGGAAAGAAACTTATTATTTTCCCTTGTTATTTTCTTACTTTAAAGAGTAAGAGAAGCAATAATAAAGGATCAAAAATGAGAAGTGATTGTAAGCTAAAACAAAACTTCAGGAATCCAAGTGAATTGTAAAATTTTCAGTAGAAAGCAAACTTAAGACCATTAAGAAGTGTTCTCTGTACCTAGGAGGAATCTCTGGCCACAGGAAGGGTAATGACCTTAGGAGGTGGGAGCTGACTCCCGGCCCACTGAGAAGGCCGCCTTGCACAATTCAGCGCCAACAGGTGCCGGTCCCACACACCTACTCACCTCCGTGGCTTACATGGGTGGTGACGTGGCAAGTGTGGGTCTCCTCAAACAGGCCTATAAAATCCAACCAGAACAATTGTATGATGCTTGGAACAAATTTGCTAGTAAAAGAAGAGAAATTTATGAAAACTTAAATTAAAACCAAGTAAAAGATTGGTTTTGAATAGTCCTTCTTGTGACACAAAATGAATTCTGCCATGAGATGTTAGTTCAGAAGCACTCTTAGAATATTATTTTGGATAATAGTCACAGTAATAAACAGTAATTGAACAAATTACTTGCTGGAGCAACAGTGAGGAATACTGTACAAATACGTACTCAATTGCCAGGAGCCTTTGCAGACTTAATTTTTAGAAATTAGCTCCCCTGAATGTATCCACTGGCTCTTTTAGAAATGGCTCCTCCCTCATGCTTGGGAACTCGGCAGATGGGGCTGGATTCCCTCACCCCAACTCCTGGCCTCCAGGAGAGAACGCTGCTCTTCCCGGACCACCTTTCCCAAAGTGCCACTGGAGGCTCTCCACTAATTTCGCAGAGCACCACTGAGAATGGCCGTGGCTTTTTAGTCATTTAAAAAGACTGCTGGTGGGGCTGGCCCCCTGGCACAGCAGCTAAGTGTGGGCACTCTGCTTCGGCGGCCCAGGGTTCGCAGGTTCGGATCCCTGGCGCACACCGACGTGCCACTTGTCAAGTCATGCATATAAATTAGAGGAAGATGGGCATGGATGTTAGCCCAGGGCCAATCTTCCTCAACAAAAAGAGGAGGATTGGCATTGGATGTTAGCTCAGGGCTGACCTTCCTCACACATACACACACAAAGACTGCGGGAGACTTGGGGATAACTGAAAGTTGAAGTCATTCAATATTGCCTTGCTACCCAGAACAAGAGCCATCCCAGAATCCTTGTCTGCCTCCCTCCTCTCCTGTCTTCCCATGGCAAGCACACCTCCTAGCTCTAATGCCACCCCCATGGGAATGCTCCCGGCAGCAAAAAGAACCCAAGTCTAGACCAAAAATGACCCTGGCTTCCCAGGGAAGAGAATTTTCCTCTTCCTCCTAGCCTGCCCTGGGTCTCTCAGGTCCTCAGATCTCATCGTAGGATTTATTTCTACTCAGAGTAATTGAAAGTGGGACTATCCATTCCCTTTAGGAGAAAATTCACTCCCATCCACAGAGGTGTAGCATTTCACTATAACCTTGGCAACAGTCATACAACATTGGGACATTTATACATTTCTCAAATTCAGAATTATCTGGTTTAAGTAATACTGTGCCCAAAAATAAAAGTCCAGGACCAGATGGCTTCCCTGGTGAATTCTACCAAACATTCAAAGAAGACTTAATACCTATCCTTCTCAAACTCTTCCA